TTGAAAACATAAAAAAACTCCATTGGCGTAGAAACACACACAACAGATAACGGATAAAAATAAATTATAATTGCATATCTTGTTTGCCTAAGTATAGGGTGAAATGAAAAACTATTTATTTACATAGGCAACGTTAGGGCCACATGGTCCTTTCTTACACTTAAAATGGTAAGGTGATAAAAATAAAACATATATAGGGCTATTTTACGGAGTAACTTAGACGTGTCTTTCAAGAAAAAAATCTTGTCTAGATCTTATAGGCTGTTCATTTGTTAACCAAATTAATCGAGTTGAAAACGAAATAAAATACATAAAATATTGAATTATTAAAAATAATAATACATTTTTATATTACCAGAGAGTGCAGTTTTTCTTTAATTTCTCCAACAATATATTTTACCGCAATTAATTGTATGTTGGCACTGGCCAACATTCATCGATATGTTAAATTATTAGATGACCTGAACTTGGACTTCAACTTAATGGATATTATATTAAATTCATATAATTACTAGTGCTTATTACAGTTATTATACCAATTATTCAAATGGTTACAATTCATTGTGCAATTTTCAAAAACATACAAAATACTGACTATTCACATGGAAACGTTTTGCATTAGGGCCAGAGATGGACAGCTGATTTTGTACATTAAAGACGAAAGAGACAAGAAGCCACTTTAACGTCACTCACTACATCACAGTGGTGACGTCATCGCCGCTTTGACGTCATGCGCTATTTTGGTACCCGTCTAGCAACGTGGTTTAGGACGTTTCACCCCACCTGTGTACAACGGCCTTACAGCTCACACTGTGCATCGTTATTGTGTCAATTTGAAATGGTATTGTAATTATTCTACAACTGTAATGAAATGCTAATTTAGCACTTGTACAATATTAGATGTTTTAAGGATAAAGTTTATTTTAGAGGAAACTGGTTGATAAAGAGGACGTTGAAAGTATTAAATTTTAAAATGATAAGCAAAGAGTTTGATGGATATTTTTAGCCCAGGTAAAGTAACGTAAAATATTCATGCATTAACGTGAAATGTTTGGACCACCACTCTATTATAAAATAAATACTATGTATTACTATATGACTATCTATTATACAATACTCACCACTCTACTATAAAATAAGCTTGTTTTAATATTCAGAATTAATATGTGTACACTAAGTATGTCCATATCTCAATAAAGTGATAAAGTACGTTCAGTTTTAAGGTATTGTAGACTGAGTGAAGAATGACATGACATCTCTTTTATAGCTTTGCCCCTAGAAGACATCCAGTCTGAAACTACGCAAATACTTTTGAGATAAGGTTATAAACTAATACAACTGGTAAAATGGAAACATGCTGACGATCACACAAGTCTTTTGAAGCACGGGGAAAGTGACGAAGCAGTGTTTAAAATCAGCTGTCAATAGATAATGTTGAGTGATTCCCGCGCTTTGGCCAGATGGTCCCTAGAAATAGAGGCAGGTGTCACAAATAGAAAGTGGTCCAAATACTGACAGCGTGAGTGGTGTAAACAGGCTCAGATAAATGTCGGCCATGACCGAGCAAGGCACTGGGGAAACTCACAATTCCTCTTGTTACTCTTGTCCGGAAATTATAGTGGCTATAGACCTGTATCTGTGTCCTTCAGTGTTCGCTAAATCATATGTCTTTGCAGTAGTACAAGAGAGAAGCTAAATTTATCTTGAGCTGTTACAGTTATAAATCGCGTATTTTTTGTCTGTGGATTTGACCTTTTTAGGAGCTAGTGACTACTCTAAATGTCTTCCACCTTTCTTGGCAGTAGTTTCAAAGTCAAGTTCAAATAAGTTTGTCATTTATAGCATATCAAAGGTATACATAGTTATCAAAAGAGGTAATTTAGCATTTAATTAAATGAATAGGCTACCACCGTAGGTAAGATTAAGACTTGGGACCAAATAAATCTTTCACATTTGTCCTCAGAGGCCAAAACATAATCCGTTATACTGTGTGTGTGTCTGTGTGTGTATGTGTCCGTGATTACTAAAACAGGATTAATTTTGGTTCGATTTTGATAAAATGTTGTGTAAGCGTTCAGAGCTGAATATATTCTAATTAATTTGTGAAGAATCTATCAGGTAAAACAAATAACTGTGTATATTAAATTGTTGTGGAAATGGACGTGGGGATGATTAAAAAAATACACATTTAAAATTCCCATGTCATTCTTAAAGAAAAAATGTAAATTATTACAGTTTGTTTGTTTAGTGGTATTTTAATAAGGTTTTGCAAGTTCAATTCATATTAAACTTGCCTATCAACATAAACAATGTTTCCTACCTATAACAGCAAATCTGAGTACTCGTCAAAAATAATGCTATTTACATAGCGAATACGTCTGACATGTTTAAGGAAAAATTGGGTTTGGATCTAATCAAACAAATGAAAATACAATTATTCAGCAGGTTTGCTGCAGTATTTCTTCAAAAAATGTGTTATTAAGTAAACAATCTTCATTAAAACGTAGAAAATATGTGCAACTAATTTAACAAAAATGCGAATAATTGAGACTGCGCGTAACAATAGAGCATACACTCGTATTTCAGTGTACGTTGCCACCTTGAGTGTATGTTGAAACCAAAGAATAAAATAACCAATTTATTGGATTCAGTTACGAAATCATCTAAACCTTTTCGGTAAATATACGAAACTTTAGCTAAAATTAGTATAACGTTTTTAGAATATACACGGTTTGAAGCCGTTATCAATTTTATTATTTTGACTACATATTAGGCATTGTCAATTAGTTTATTATTAAACCTGACTGAACACAGATAGAGTAGCTACTAAAACTTAAGACAAATAATAAGCACAAGATAATTAGGTATTTTTAGAACTCATCCGTTATCTGTGAAGTACAATTTCCCTCTAATTTTAGACTTATTTAATTAAATCAATGTTAAAGACTTGGTGACTTTACGCAAGATTGTCGACTGTGTCCGAACACATAAGGTGTATTGAGACAATTTACTACAACAGGTATGCTTTTAGGTAAACGATCTTTATCCATACGTACCCAAAGGTTAAAATTATGCCTTTTAAATCCCTTTTTAACTTTGGTGCATTCTTATCAAAACATAATATGTACTAGAAATAATAGGGATTTGAATGTTCTCCCAAACACTTTGTATCTATTTAAAACAGAAAAACAAAGCTTTTAATCAACAGTTTCAAAGTACAGTTTTAACTGTACTTAAAAATACAGATTTAATTACTTTAAGTCCAAACTCAAAACTTATATAGTTGAACTCATAAGTCAACAGGTAAATGGTGAAAACTTAAATAACGGATGTAAGCCGAAAACCTAAACCACAGGTTCACACTGACCCAGCTGTAGCTACAATGACAGACACAAGTAAAACCTGTCTTACATCACATCTGGGAATATAATTATTGATGGCAAGGGTCTACATCGTCATTATAATCTGTATAAGTCCCTTGACACTCGATTGATTGAGTAGCAAGTAACAACGCCAACGATCTATAATATGGTTTTCGGTTTTTTGAAATACTTGAAGAAATGTGTGCAATAATTAGCACATCATTAATTTATCAATCAAATCATTTAATCAAGCTTTAGTATAACAATACGCGAACAATATGACCTTCAGTCTCAAAAACGAATTCTAATGAAACTCAATTTATAAAAAAACACTATTTGGCCCAAATAAAAGGGGGTAAAACTCTTATATGTGTAGTATAGTTCAATCTGAATGTAAACATATTAATAAACAATCTAATATGGTTAAGTGTACATTAGATTAATTAAGTGGCGCAATCTGAATGTAAACTTATTAATAAACAATCTAATATGGCTAAGTGTAAATTAGATTAATTAAGTGGCGAATACACAGTTTATTCCGATTTCATAAAATCTCATACTCAAATTAGGTACATTTACTTATGTTATTTTATAATAATCTACAAATAATATTTTTTCTTTATATGCATTATTATTATTTACTTAAATATTAAACTAAAAAATTAAAATATTAACTTTAGCTAAAAGTCCTTTGTATACATAGCATATACTCAAGAAATATTTAATTGCTGTAGGGATATAATAGAAAACCTTTTGCCAAAACTATATAAATATTTACACTTTTTACTTATAACATTTAAATACGGTAAGTACACATGTTACAGTGGTGATCGATATTTACCACTTACACAGTTCACCATCAGGTCAAACCATAAGTCTACTGTTTTACATTGATATATCTTCTGATTGGGAAAAGAAGAAAAAACAACAAAGGAGCGCACTCAAAGAGGAAGGAAGTCTGTTTTACATACGACATTGAACCCATCTATCACCCCGTAATAAGAGTGGCGGTGAACAAATAGTTGTCAAGAATACTGGTCTTCGTCCAGAAAATAACAGTAAATAAATACTGTCTTGGAACATGTTAAGGCAAGCTGCGTTTTACACCTGCAATTTATATATCGCATTGAAAATCTTTGATATTTGTTTAGTTAGTTTATATCTCAAAACTACATCAACCGTAATAATGCTAATGACGAGTTTTGTTCTATTAATTAATTGTAATGTACACATATTTAAATATAAATAATGTATTGTATCAATCATGGATGATATTCAATGTAATTAATGGTGTTTTTAGACATGTTCATAACACAATCGGATAAGTTAGTTAAAATGTGTCATATATACAGGATACCATATATTTATAGGAAGAAGTATTAATGTACAGGCAGTTTGGATTATCAGCAAACCTTGAGAATTAGTAGTTTTGTATTTTAGATGCTAAGCAGAATAAGATTTAAAACTTTGTTTACAAAAAATATATCAATTTTCAATTATCCATCAAATAAATTGGAAACATTCAGTTAACTTAAACGCAGAATCTAGACATTTCTGGATTTGTAACGCATAACTTTAAACACAGCGGATGTCCTCATATAGAGGAATCACTCATTGATTGAGATGAAAGTGACTTACCATCTTTGCGGTAGTAAAGGATTTCGAAGTGTTTCTCCTGTCCGGCGGCGAGGGCCTCCTTGACGACGGTGACGGCATGTTGGCTGGTGAGAGGGCCATGGAGGAAGTCGCAGGAGGCGGGTCGCTGCATCACCTCAGCCCTGGAGAACCCTGAGAGGCGACAGAACCCGTCCGAGCAGTAGATGATGTGACAGGAGTTGCCCAGAGCATTGGCCACCAGGAAACTTCGATCTGAAACACAGAGAAGAGAATTAGAGGAAGTTCTTTGGGTGGTAGGGTCACAGAGAAGAGAATTAGAGGAAGTTCTTTGGGTGGTAGGGTCACAGAGAAGAGAATTAGAGGAAGTTCTTTGGGTGGTAGGGTCACAGAGAAGAGAATTAGAGGAAGTTCTTTGGGTGGTAGGGTCACAGAGAAGAGAATTAGAGGAAGTTCTTTGGGTGGTAGGGTCAAAGAGAAGAGAATTAGAGGAAGTTCTTTGGGTGGTAGGGTCACAGAGAAGAGAATTAGAGGAAGTTCTTTGGGTGGTAGGGTAAGTAACGTAGCTGTTTAGGGGAGTGCCCCAGTGGGTCGCCTACGGTCTGCAGCATATTTAAGTATATCCAGAGGTATGCTGGGTAGTCTTATGAAGAATTATCCATTGCAAGCCTATGATCTTGAACAAGAGATGGAAGACGTAGTACAAAACAAGGAAAAGGTTGTACGAAAAAATTAAACATGTCGACTTCTTTTGTACTATATGTAAAAATATACAGGGTGACAATTAAGTCTTAGGGCGACTTTATAAACATAAAATGGAAAGAGATATCACAACCTAATTGAATATATCATTACTGGTAATAGTAAGCTACTTCTTTATGAACATGGTGATCGGAAGTCACCTATGGGGTACGACCCATAGGGAGTAAGTTTAAAATCTGTATGGTAAGCATATGAACTTCAATCAAAGAATTAATATAACAATTATTTTAGGGACTTTGAGTAATAACGTTGTCGATTAATAAATTCTCAAATGCTTAGTTTTGTTTTCTTTACAATTTAAAACCACCATTTTGAACCAATAGTTTACATGGGTGCAAATGTTTGAGTGTATCTATATTATTCTTTACAATCTTTACAAGGCTGTGGTTTCAATCATTCACTTATTATATCAAATTAAGAACCGAAGTCTTTATAGTATTTTTACTCACAGACAGAATTTACGTGTTTAAAAGTACGGTAAACAATAGATATAGTATTAGATATAGTTAAGAACAGTAATGCTAAAGCTGAAGGTACTGTTGAAAAGGACAACTTTAAAACAGTTTTCAATCTTAGGAATGACAATGTAAATGATTCCAACCGTAACAATAACTCACGAATGTGCGCTAAAACTATTGTTTTTATTTATTTATTTTTCAAGGTACCTAAACACAGTTTTTTAGACCCACATTGCTGTAAATATTCAAATATGAGTAGTTATTTGACATCAGAAAAGAAAATATTCATACTGTATCTATTTACTTGTTTTATAATATATACTCATGTCTTAGATTACAATTCAAGACATTAAATTAACCACACACTACGGTTTCTCGCAATCGCACCATTAAACAGTTACGTTCACATCGTATGTTCTCGCAGTGCGCGTTGCTACGCGTTGAAGGATGCGGAGGAATTCCCGCGGGAGAAGATGGCTCACTCCCCGTTGACATTCTAATTCCCCCTTCCCCCTCTTCCCCAAGGCTCTGTCATCCGCATTAACCCAGATCCTCCTCGTAGGAATCTCTTGGCTTGGAGATAATCACTTATATATGCATTACTTTATGTCTGCTGATAAAGTAACGTCTATGGTGTTGATACGTTAATTATAGCTTGTAAAATTCAATGTATAATATTAAGGTTTAGAGAAATGTGTGGGACAAGCATGTAGAGTTACTAAAGTAATCTAATAGATTGGTTATAGTCATATTGATAAGTTAGTATGTGATTAAACTATTAATAATTTGGAAATATTAGGTCTTGCATCATAGAAAACTGTTAAAATATTTAAGTAGGTAGTCGATTCTTGTGAATATATTTTTTATACATATTTCTTGTGTAATAAATATACATAAAGTTAAGTCACTGTAAAAATTCTATGCACCTACAAAATATATTTTACCGGTTATATTCTGAGGGGGTTGGACATTTGATTATGATTGAAAACTAAACTCATCTGTATTGATTGTACTTTGACTACGACCAACATATTCGATACCTCGGTACTTGGCATTTAATCTGTGAGTGGAAACCAAATTGATAAATATAATATTTTATTTGACCCGATGACTTAGTTTAAAATTTGGCATGCGTACCTACAATTAATTAGTAATGAAAGAGTTGTATGGCCACAAGCCAAGTAGCAAATTCACCGGCAAATTAAATATGAAAGAGCATCACTGAGCGAGGCTGAGGTGTGAAATTTCCTAAAGAGCTTCTAAAGTATTTACTAATGTTTAAAGACCTACATCTGCTATTGAGGCAGATATATTCGAGTCTTATCCAAGCAGTTAGCCTTATTTGATTACAGCATTTTATTTAACACTGTCTAATTTTTTATTATTTGGTCTTAGTAACAAATTATAATTTCCTGGATGAGAAATTAAACTGACGATAGTGTTCAGATCAAGAAGAAGAAAATACCAAGTTCATCCCTCGAGAGAGAAATTATAAAATTGATGATAGCAGTGCAAGCGTCGTTAACAAATTGTTGGATTATGATTAATTTCAACCTTGGACTTGTTTGAAACGAGTTTAAAACAAGAGTTTTGACATTTCCATAAAATCATTTATCCACTTATTAAAAAGTGTACACCTCTGTGGGTTAAAAATGTTGATGAAGAGAATATGTATCTAACTTTGTAAACACCCAACTACGTTCGGTAAACTTTCCCCCCTACAACAGGATATTTTTTTCATATCAAACCGAAATTATTAGATTACCACTAATCTGATCATAATCTAATCTAATTAAATTTATTACCACCACCACGAGACACCTTTAACGATAAAACCAGCTTATATGGTACAAGGTATGGTGTAAGGTGCAAAAATAGGATCGACATTTCCTTTCGCAGGACTTAGTAAAACTAAATATGCCTTTTCAGTTATGGCCCTGAAGCTTTACAACGAGCTCACTGTTCAAATCAAACTTATGGAAGTTAACAAGTTTTCCCCAAATCTTAAGGACCATATCAAATAAAAGCCCTACTACAAATTAAGATACGATTTCGGCATCCCAAGACCATCATTCACGCCATCAGTGGGGCACGTATAACTTAACTCCATCACGGAAGTCTGTAATTATTGTAAATATCGTATTATTCTTTTGACACTGCTTATCCAATACATTTGGTCTCAAGCAAAGGAGGAGGTAATGAAGTATGTTGGTATCCCTGCGTACACCTGTCTTTAGATTTTGCCACTATTTCATACGTTGAAATTAATAAATGGTATCTCCAGGTGTTTTTATTTATAACTTTTATTTTAATGGTGTTTTGTCATTGAAAACCACATGAGATAACGGAAAATGGGATTTTCACTAAAACTCCTTCAACAAGAAGGTATTATATTGTATTCATAAAGACAAATATTAGAGTTTGTACTGTCAATGTAACAATTATTCTGCAATGTTTAAACACTAATAACACTACAGGCATGTTATTCATATCGAGATAACAGGTTAAACCCTGGTCTTGTGACCTACGTCGACTTATTTTTATGACACGTCATAATCAATAGGACATTACCAAGTAATAAATTCCAAAAGGACACAAAAGATTCGAAGGCGAGACGTATCTACACTCTGCTAATCAATTAGATAATATGACCATTAGTCTAAAATATTTACAGTATCTTTACTGTCCACAACTCATTTTGCAGGGGCATTTGGCATCCTTTCAAAAATATTGTTTACCTCTTTTTGGGAGTGTCCTTTAAACACACCTTACTATTTCGTGCTAAAGGTTAAATACACATTTACACAAAATATTATGCATTTTTAAAAGCTAATTATTTATGATAACGAGTTGTCTGGTGTACTAATAATTTCCCTGGGTTCGTAGCTTTCTGATCCATGTTGACTTGAGTCCAGTGTACTGAAGTAATGAAGGACATCTCGTTGACGATCTAAATGCAAACATGTACTCGGGTCCTCTCATTTCTACCCCCCCCCCCCCACATTGACCCATCCCAACTCTGACTCCTACACTCTATACTCTAGCTGAACCTCACTCTTAATTAATTCTATAAACATTCTACCTTGTTACTTTTTAACATATGTTAGACCAAAATATGTAAGGTTTAAAATTAAAAAAAAACATATCGTTTGTTTTGGTATTAATGACTAAGTATGCGTAGCCTAAGCCCTGAATTCATAGTTAATAAATGTTCGAGCTATAAGATATGGTCTAATACTTTACTACATTTTGTAACAATATAACAAAAATATGTATGAAATCGTTTGAAAATTTAATTAAACTAATCAAGGAAATTTAAATCCTATAACAATTTTGTACATCTCTAATGTAAACGGTGTTAGAATGAAGAACTGTTAATCCCTTAAATTCTTAAAAGATAATATAGGTGTGAATCGCACACTTGCATCAATGATAGACATGAAGGCTTTTCCTAATTAGATGTTTGTACTAAATCTTTAATTCACACAATACACTTACTGCACATGTAAATAAAGTAACTAAATCTAATTTGACATTTTGATTTCGTTTAAAATCACCAAGAGCGGGCAGATATACAGTTTGCTTGGTCTCATTTTATAATGTGCAGTGTATTGTAAAACAGTTCCTTATGAGTTAGATAAGTATAACCTATGTTTAGGGTTCAAAATCATAAACTCTCAGATATTGATATTGTTATGTACAACCTAAACAATACGATCAAGCACCATCTCATAATATTGTTTACACGTTTAAAACCTCTCAATTCTTCAAACGGTTATTATATTAAGGCACAAGCAATAAAATTGAACGACTTTGTTAAACACTTTTTGTATACAACCAGAAAATATTATTGTCAGCATTCAAAATTAAGAACAAAACCCACAAGGAGAAAAGGTCAGAGCTTAAGGGTGAAATAGCATAATTATGCAAACGGGTACCCAAACTCGGGATCCTAATTCTCACCACCTGTTGAATAGACAAACTTCTAATCCAAAACCTACAAGGAGGGGAGGGGGAGGCAGTAATAGTTTTGAC